ATAGGTTTGAAATATTATATAGAAAAGGAAAGAGAAGTAGTAAGTAAGTTTTTTTAGGTCAAAATAAATAATTATCTTTAAAATAGCAGGTAAACTCGAACCCATTTAAATTAATCTAATGTAGTTTATTCATTGTACCCCAGAAAATAATTAAAACATGTTTCATTATTCATTTTTATTATTAAAGTCTTCGACTAATAAATTCAAATATAAATACAAAAATCCATATATTTGTATTTATAATAACATAATAATTTTTAACAAATATAATATAAATCTATAAAATAATAGGAATCAAATATTTAACATTAAGTTCACAAAAAACAAAATCCCCAAGAAATAAAACTTAAGCTTCGTGTAAGGTTATCTTCAAAATGATTTATGTTTTCCATTAAGTTTATCACTGCTTAAAACTTGGTTCGATATATTTATTATTTTCATCTCTACCTATATAAAATATCGTTTTACTTTTTTAGAAGTGCACACACTATAGTGGGATTCAGACCATAGTTTATGTTTATAGCCACAATCTATTCATATTGTACAACTAAACTTAATCCATTAGGCATTAAGTAATATTTGTAAAAAAATAAACATATTAAATCTACATTTTTGACTCGGTTAGTCGGTTACAATGTAATTTAAGCTTCCTTAAAAATTTAAAATATTATACAAAAAACAGAACACGTATTTAATTTTAAATATATTATTTTAATTAAGTCATAATAATATGTTTTGGTTAATAATTATGAACAACTGTACTACCTAATAAATGTTAACATTTCACGGAACAAAAAAAAAAATCCAGTTAATTAATGTCTTTGTAATATACGCACTCCTTAGCTAAAACATTAATATAAGTACTTCTTCGTTTATTTTTGTTAATGGTTTAACTTGACAAACACTCACAAAACATACATTTTGACAGTCAAGAAGATAAATTTATGTTCACTTAAAATAATAAGTAGTAAAAAGACATATTATAACTTTGTGTTCAGAAAATCATACTAAACATGAATATTACGTTCACATTTTACTTAATCTCTTTATTTATTATTTCATATTATTTTTATGAAGAAGTAAATTTATTTCTTATAAAAGTATTTAATAATATATTGTAATATTATATTTTAGAATATTAGAGGAGCGATGAATGACGTATTGATTCAACAATGATGTGTGTTTTTTTATTTTTGTATCTGTGTACACTGTACACGATAAGTAGGTAGTCGAAATAATTGTTCGATTTTCCACTTCAGTAACTTTTGTGGTGGGAAAGTGAAACTAGTTGGTGCATTAAAGAGGTCAAAATTGAAAATTCTCAGTAATTTTCAAAAGTTTGAGAAAACCAAAAGATATTAAATAAAAATGAAATTATTTCCCAAAATCAGTTTTTGACAAAATCAATTTTGATGTTTGGTGTGATTCAAATAAAAATAACCGTAGTTACGTTTTCACTGAATGTTTATATTAGCAATTTCTATACAATTTTTAAAATATGTTGGCTAGGGTACTGAGAATTTATTTTTGCCCATCTCAGTTTAATTTTAGTTAGGCACCACTGCCCCTATAGACACCTACTGTGGAGCCCATTTGCCCACCATCATTTTTATTTTTGTTATATTTAACATACATAATGCAATTTTCTGACCATGTACATAAATTGTGTGCTGAGTTACACTCGACAGCCTGCTATAAGTTTATAACTATTATACCCGCATGTGTTTCTCCATCTTACAAACGTATAACATAGCGAATTGTAGGTTCTGAATAATTCATTAAACTTTGTTATGTTAAAGTTTAGAGTGAATTGACCCATTACCAAATTTAGAAGTAAGAATATTATCTAGTGTATGACATGTTTTTTTCATATTTTAATTTTAAAGCTAGTTATGAGCATTTTTAAAATTGTGAATTGTTTGTACATTTTAAAATGTTCATAGCTCCCAATGTTATGCGGATAGTATAATATATGTCATAGACGGAGGTATCGACTATGGGTATACTACTCACTCATCTGTAAATAGTAGGTTGTCAAGGGTGTAACTCGGCTCAAAATTGATCTCCCAGGTTTTGAAGATTAGGTCTTCTGGGTAAAAATTAAAAGTACCTATTTCTACTTTATTCGTTTTTGAATTAAAATAAAATAAAAAAACCGTTCAATGAGAATTCGTTAATTTATGGGTCATGTCAAACCAATTTTAACTTCAAATGATCAAAAACAATTTTTTTGACTTTTCGGTAAACTTTTAATTTGTTAAAAGTAGGAAAACTTATGAGAAATATTGTATTACATTTTCAATTATAAAATGAATTTCTAATTCTAAATAATTATCGAATTATAGTGATTTTGAGGATATACCCAAAATATATTATTTTTTTTAAATTTCCACTAACAACTTATACGGAATCTAGTATTCAAGTTTCAAATATTTTTACCAACTGAACATTTTTTTATTGACAATAATTTAAAAAAAACTTATACAAATTTAAACTTTTTTATGCCTGTAAACATGGTTTATTTTGAAAATTTTATTGAGTATAAAAAATTGTTTCTAATGTAAAGATTCTGTAAAATTTTCATGTTTTTACGGTTATCTATTTTAGAGTTACACACTTACACCTAAAACCAAAATGGAATCTTTCAAAAACTAGCTTTGAGTAAAAATCTCCGTATTTTCTTATTTTTTTTTTGTTTTTCACTACACTTAAGAAAACTATTTATTTTTATTTAGTACCCTCAGGCCTCAAAGTACCAACAAGATTCATTTTTCTACCAGAAAAGATGCTGAAGTAGAAAATCGAAGCTTATTTTTTACTCCGCCAAAAGGTCATGACAGGCACAAAAAAAAACACATCATTGTAAAAATCAATACATTAATAATTGTTCCTCTCAGAATCTAATATACGTAAAATATTCAAGTAGGCACTCATGAATAATATTTTTGAATTACTACAAAAGAATTAAAATCATTGTCTGTCGCTTAAATATGTATCTTATTTCGTTCAAATTTAAACTTCAAATGTCTATAAAAAAAAAAATAAACTGTATTTAAATATTTTTAGATTTTTTTGGTTTAAGTATGAATTACATATGACAAACCTTGTATTAAATATTCATATTTAAGCTTAAAATTTGAACACTAGTACAGTAGGTTACAAGTGGGTCACTGCAGTATAATGGATTGTATTAAATTTTAATTCAATGATAATATCATATCATTGTATACGACAAACGGTTCTGAGCGGAGACACGGTTTGTCAGTCTGGATATTTTATATTGTTATTATATTTTGATTATAGCCTGTAACTTGTAAGTTGAATTAATATAATAAATTTCAACAATATAACTAAAATCATTATTTTTATTCGTTTCTATGGTGTTAAGCAAAGCGTTAGGAATTAAAAACCCATTTTTAGCGGTTTTTTGTAATTTGTCGGTGGTGTTTCCTGTGGCATTAAATAACTATTGAGAAAATAAAAAAATTACCCGTTTAAAGTACCATTTTGATCCAATTTTCTAAAAAATAAGATACTATATGTCGAAATCGAACCACTCCTTCTTTTAGAAATTTTGTATATAGGATAAAAAAAAATAAAATTAAAAACCATTGTATATAATATGCGTACAAAATACCTAATATTATATTCTATACCATAAATAATATGTGGTATTTGAATTTATCGGAAATTGAGTCTATGATTTTTTCCAGTAGTTAAATAGCCGACTGTAAATAAACAATAAACAATAAACAATAAACATACGAGTTTTAATAACTAATATATAAATGTACCTATTGTTTATTAATATTGGTTGTACGATAAATTATTATTATTAATTTGTGAAATAGTACTATAATGTAGAGACAGAGTTTTTGTCTAGGACTGTCTAGCACTCTATCATCATGACGTCTTTCAGACTTAACGCCACATTGTGTTGATACTTGATATCATTCGTTTATTAGGTTATAATTTTTTTTGGTGATCAGTATTTACGGTAATGCTTTGCAAAAGCCATAAGAAACACGTAACGGTGGACGATAATAATTATTGTTGAACAGTTATTATTCTCGCGCTGTTTGACGTACATAATTTATTATAATATTATAATATAATATTCTGTTCACCGAGTCGCCTACTACTACATCAGCAGCAGTTATCTAATGGTGTTGGCATGTTGGCGGCGACGGCGATCGGGCGATGGTGTCACTCAGCGCTAATTTCTCTCATTAATTTATGAAATCGGACGGGATAAAAAACGGAGAGTTGGACGTTTTGCGTTTCGGGTTACCAATCAACCGAAATTTTCCGGGGTACGCTATACATGCCTACCACCGACGACAACTATCGCAGACATAGCAACAGTAATTTTCCCCGGGATTCTGTTACACGTCAACATTCAAAGCACGCATATACACGACCAGAGCCGCAGACTCGCATGTGTAGTGATGGCAGGGTTATTGATCATCGTCATCTGCCGTGAGTTCGACATCGGTGGGGGGGGGGTCAAAAAGTAGTTTTCGCGGCGACTCGAACAGGTGTCCCGTTTCGGCAGCGAGCGTACATGTGTGTGTGTGCATCGTGCGTGCGCACCACGTGTTTGAGGGTATTGGCTGGCGCGCGTCGGCGCGCCGACATCAGCTTGGCCCGGAGAAGGTCACTGGTGCGCGCGCGGTGAAAACGGGTGAAAAACCCGCGGAGTCAAGCGGGTGAGAGACGCGCCCGCCAAAAGCGGTACGTTCGCCAGCGCCACTCCGCTGCCGCCGGTGAGGTCACGCGAATCCCTCACACACGCTCGCGCGCGCGCACGCACACAGAGTTCGCGAGGCCACCGCATCTCGCCACGCCGCTTGTGTACTTACTGCTGCTGGTATAAAAAATATAATACCATATAAACATTATATATATATATACGCACGCCAAATACGCACAGCCCCCGGACGCACACCACCGACAGACTCCGTCGCCGCCAGACGCGCACGCACACGCACTCCGACACACTACCACTCCGCCGCCGCTGCCGCCACCGGTGGGCGCGAAGCAACAGCTTGCACACACACAGGTAATTCGTGCCACCATGGCTGGCCGTGCGCCGCCACTACCCGCGCAACAATGCCGCCACCGCCGGCCTGTGTAGTTCCCTCTCGCGACGACCAACCTGATCTTTGATCGGCGGTTCTGTCGCCCCTGCGGTGGAGTCGCACCGTAGTCTTATCGAACCGTATTTGTTTTTTTTTTTTTCGATCTCTGTAGACCATCTCGTACTTAAAAACTGTTGCTCCGGAGTGATGCATCCCGCGGGCCGTTTGTTTCGGTCAACAAATAAAAATATAAACTAATTATCACACTAAGACCTGAGCAACCGTCTATACAATCAAGTTCACATTCAAAAGTGGACCACCACCACCACCACCACCACCTGTCACCCCGAATAAAATTATTTACTATCAAACTATCGTAACAAAATATACAAGCATAATATGTATTTCTTATTCAATCCAAAATGAATACTTCAACAAATATACAGCTATTACTCTATAATGCATGGGCATATTGACATATTATTAATAAATAATATTATTGTACAATTTACGAATCATAATTTATTACCATTTCACGATATGGATCAATAGACAGCTTCTCATGCAGTGTTTACTGAGTGTACACATTCTAATTTGATTGGGTTGCTTATAATTAATGCCAGTACATATACTGGCGTTCTTTCACGTTTGGCGTGCTTGAGGAATTCGATTACGATGTGGTTTCATGTGAACTATTTTATCATATTAGTCAAATTTCTCAGCAAGTTTATAATATTTGTAATACATATCAGTATATCACACGAGTCGTGTAGATGTGCCCTATTTCGATACTGTACCCGTTTTCAAAAGAGAACATACCGCTTTCGCGCATGTCGAATAATTCGATTGGTGCATGTAAGCTTGCTACCGGCGGCGGTAGATACCAGGTACCTACTGGCTACTGTTATTGTATCAAAATAGATATAGATTGCAATTAGTAATACTAGGTATCGAGGATGTCAATAACATTTCGTTATTATTTTTGGAAATAATAACAATTCGTTTATAAATAGTTGGAAAATTTTCAACACTACTGGAGGTCAATGAAATTCAAATATCTAAAAATTTTTAATATAGCTCGAATTTTCGAATTTTCGCTCGGCAACGCTGTCAGTGTCTAACTTTTTCAGGGTTAAAATTTAAATTATCGCAATACAGATGTAAAAGAATATCTATAGACATGGAAAACCAGTTATTAGTTTGAACAAAAAGTATATGATTTGTATCAACTATCAAAAAAGATTCCTCAATAGCAAGTCACTAATATATTATATTTTGCATATAACAGTGATATTATTATCAATTATGTATTTACATATTATACTCGTATTAATAATTAATACGTTTAACAATAGTTTAATTTAATAAACTAATACCAATTTAATAATCTGTGAATTTTGTATCCCTTTTCTCAGTCAAATTATACTGTAAATAATGTAATACATGATTACATAAACCTAATATTATATTTAGTCATGCTATGATAAAGTTATTTACTTATAATAAAGTTTATCTTACCACTTTATATTTATATTTTGTTTTGTATGTTTTTTTATTAGTTGCTGTGATGAATTATATTAACAGAAAAATAAGTATTTTTTGAATATTTTATTACTATTTAATTTTTGATAGTCAGAAATATATTGGCATAATATGGCAGTATTATTGTTTTGATTAATTTCTTACAAATATATTTAGAACTCAATGTACAGCGAAACTTCCATAAATAGTGACATGAATAATATAATTATAATAGTATACTTATATATTTGCATAGTCTTAGTGATAATTTTATTATGATATAGGTATATTATATGACCTAAATTATGTATAAAATTCTGTATAGCTGTCATTAAACTGATTAAATTAATCTGATACTAACCTAAACCGAAACCGAAATTGTATATTTTTGTGAACCAAAATCTAAATTTTATATTTTTGAGAACCAAAACCTAAACCTAACCTAAACCGATAAAATCATAAAGATTCCAGTCTCTGGTTTCATTGGTAGTTTATAATTGCACCACCACAGGTATCAAAAAATAGTGTTTCTTTCGAAATTCTTCTAAGATAAGCTACTCATTACATAGTTAAAAGACGAGTATATATGGACCTTGTTTCGATTCTAAGACCGAAGAATGGAGAATTGAACCAATGAGGAACTACAAAACTTGTTCCAAAGACTATGATGTACTTCAAGGGAAGTCGCAAAAAGAAGACTGATGTGGGAAGGTCACGCTTGGAGGAAAAATGACTCTATGACTTAAAGAGGAACCGAAAGGAAAAAGACCACTAGGCAGACCATGCCTCAGATGGAAGACTGTGTGAAGAGAGAAGTTAAAGAAGTAGACCCAAGAGCAAACTGGAGAGAAATAGCTGAAAACAGAATAAGATGGAGGAAAATTTGTTTTACGGGATGGTCTTAAAGGGCGGAAACCCCCCCCCCCCCCCCCCCCCCACCCCCCCAAAAAAGTTAAAAAATAACAGAGAAAGCTGATGCACTATAGGTTTGGAAAGTACTACGTCATTGAGTATAGGTGAGTCCGTGCAGAAGGAGTATTAAATTTGAATTAAATTATTGCCTAAGTACCTACGTAAACCTATTCTAACCAGAGGTGTTGTCAATATATTTTTAAGAAGACATTGTACCCTCGTGTGATATCACCGCCTTACTAACGCATAATATACCAAAATGTTCGATAAGAAGTTCCAATTTTGTGTTGTTGGCATAAACATTATAGTGCATTGACTTATTATCAAACTTAAATGTAAGAATATTATCTGTGTTTTCTCTTTGGTTTTTACGATATTTTTTGTATTATTTGTAAGTGAATTATGTGTGTGTAAAATATTAATATTTAAAAATTCCCATACGTCATACAGTCATAACTCACTTTATATAATAATATCGTAAAAAACCAACAAGAGAACACGTTGCAGATAATGGTCACATATTTAAGTTTGATAACAGGTCAATTCACTCTAATATTTAAGCCAACAACACAAAATTGGTAAATTTTTGTATATTTTGAGTTAGTAAGAAGTGTAATATATAAATAATATACTCTTACATACTTAAAATAAAATAGTTATGCAATATTATTCTAAGTCCAGAATAATTAATTTAAGTAAAACGGTTGTAAGCGAGTTGTGACTAAGTATGTAGCTGGTGTCTGTTCGAGTTGAGGCTCGCTGCTCGTGTGATGAACGCTTGTCCATCAGCTCTCCTCGATGGATCTCTGTCCCTGTCCTTTCCATTAATTCTAAGACCATACATGGTCCTGCGGTTAAGCCTAACGTGATTCACACGCTTGCACACGCCGGAAGTCTACATATATCTAAATTGTACATGTGTGGTGTTATTTAACATAACAGCACAAATCTAAACTATATTATTTTTAGGATTATTCATATACGTAGTCATATATCTATTGTCGCACGCCGCTCATGGTCACGCACTCGATATCACTATTATTGATATTATTACTATTAATGTGTACTCGAGGAAGCATTCGAGTATAATATTTATATTTATGCGGCGCGTATATTATATGATTATGTATACATTGTAATGTGTTTTAGACAAGCCATGTGGCAAGATAGTCACAGCTCGCTACAGCATAAAGAAACAATAACAATAAAAGAACCTTACGCAACCGGCTTTCTATCTTATCAAAAAACAGCATATAATATTTACACCTACATATGCGCACAGCGCACTTAACGACATTCGGTCAAACAACCAAATATCAGTGCCAAATGTATGAGCAACAAGAATAATACGATAGCTCCTCACATACGAAATATTTTTCTCGTACCAGTATTGCCAAAAAACAACGATAATGTGCAAAATATCACATAAGATGTATGCATATGCGCATTGTTCGACATTCCGTCAAACAACCAAATATCAGTACCAAAACTATGCTAAACCAAAATAATAAAATAGCACCTAACATGCAAAGCACCAATATCGTACTAATATTGTCAAAAAACCATAGACAATGTGCAAAAACACAATGTGAATGCACGCGCATGCGCAGTTCACACAACCAACTCACAGCATCCCTATATAAACGCAACGCACAGCTCACAAACAGATCAGACACGGTCCAGACGTCAATCAATCATCATCCTGAGACTGTGCTACTCACGACGACCATACGATGTGCCACGTCGGCGCAGAACACTGCTGCACTCAACATACATGACGACGCCAACTCCGCCCACAGCGAAACTACGTGCTACCTCACAATTTTTCTTAATCTGAAATTAATCTTTTTCCACGAAGTTAACTTAACTATTGCGTTTGTTCTAACACCAGGTATGAGTTCATTTTGGTTTATTCATTTTATTATTCAAACTAAAAAAAAACGAGTCATTATCATTTACTATACTACCTGAACAATCCTTTCATAACATTAAATCATTAAGAGACTTCCTATACAAAAATTTCCAACTATTATAGTTCCAGAAATCTATTCCAAATAACAAATAATATATATTATCATGGTAAACTAAAAAAATACCTCTATAAATAAACCCAATTTTAGGCGCCTCCTGATGTTTCATCGTTTAGACGTTGAACCATCGGAGTGTACTTGGAGGTTATGAATCTCGAGTCTTGAAGCGGGCTGGATTTATACTGATACTCCGACTACATCATTCTTAAAGAGAGATTAACATCAAGTACATAGGCATTCACCAATATACAATATAAATAAATCGATAAACCATATTATCTTAGGCGCTGCCTAATGTTTCATTGTTTATTTTAACGTTGAATCATCAGAATGTACTTGCAGTTAATGAATCTCGAGTTTTGAAGCGGACAGGATTTATCCTGATACTCCGAATCCACTGCTCTTAAAGAGAGATTAACCTCAAGTATATAAGCAAACAAAAATGAAGATATCTGAATAAAATATTATATAAACCAATAATATAAAATGTAGCTTGCAATAGTATGCATATAAAAACACTAACAAATATTATAATCTAAAGCATTCTTAATCCTTCCACAACGTCAAATCCAATATATCCTTACATAAAACCATAAATTTGGTATTCAATCATTAATACAGAGAGATAGCCTACTATCTTAATTGTTCATACCCTTTGTAATTTGACGCTTTACTCTGTACTCCCCCCGACCTTCCCGCTCACCGTTATTTTTATCTCACTACAGACTGATACAATACAAGCGAGTACGA